CGCTCAGCCAGTGAGCGGCCGGTCTGTATGTGGGATCCGAACCCTCGGCGGGAGCGCCGCCACACTCCCAAGTGGCACACTGTAGCAGTGGGCCACCGGGCCGGCCCCATAAAATTTGATCATAATTTACAAGTAATAGTTTGAAGACCAACATGTTAAAGCCACAAGGTAAAAATAAGATAAAATAGTGTAAAGTATAACTTTGATATTGTTTTAAAATTACTTATTGTGTGAGTATGTGAATATCTGTAAGACAGAGAAAGATATAAATTACCCTTAATACTACCACAGAACCAAATTGTAGTAGCTCAATGGTATTTGGTAACTTTAAATGGAACATTCTCTGGATGCCTCCTTCTTTCCCAAAACATGCCTTTCTCTAATTCCTGCTTGGCCTTCACATGCCAGTAGAAACACCCCTCCTCAGGGAAGACTTGGCAGCGAGGGTAGTCCTCCTTGTCATAGTTCTTAGACTACCTTGTGCTTCTTTCATGATGTAGCATATTGTAAGCTCCATGAGGGCAAAGGATTTGCCCATTTGGTTACCAACCCACTCCAAGGGCCTAGAACAGTGGCTTGTGTACATTAGCAAGTCAATTACTATTTATTGCACGAATGTAGACCTCCTCCATGTGGTAATGCACTACATGTTCACTTGTTCAGTATTTTGCAGAAAAGCAGGAGCCGTATCTGTTTCCCTTACTGTGATGTGCCCAGTGCCTTGGCCAGTGCTCCACCCTTGGCAGGAGCTCTACCTACATCAAAGGAATGACCAGCTCAGATGGGACGGAGGAGGACCCTATCTTCTGCAGGAGCCTAGAGCCACATTTCCAATTAGGCATAGCTTGTCTTTATAGTCCTGCCTTGGCTTCCTCTGTCTGCCTAAGGCCTGCCTTTTCCTGCATCTCTGGTCTTGGTCCTGCTTCAGGGCACTGATCTCTGCTAAGCCCTTATCTGATAAGGCTTAGTTATTTTACCTTCACTTGGGTGTCAATGTTTGCATTCCGTTAGGGAACTCTAGACTAAAAATACTTTGTGAGTCAAGGAAATAAACCTCTAATGGTATAATTTAATCTGGAACAGGGTAGAGAGGCTTCTATTTTTGAAACAAAGAGTCTACCTGTTTTCTTTCAAGCCACTGAGTCCTCCACCAACTTGCAAGGGCAAATCTGACTCAGCTAACACGTCAGTCCAACAATTACAGGAAAACAGAAGTGTGGGGCTGGAAGGGATACTGACAGGTCATTCAATCCATCTGTCAGCCTTTGGGCAAGGATACATCTAGGACTGCGCCAAGCTATCCCCAATAGATGCATCTAAACTACATCTTTTAAGTCTCCAGAAGAGGTGAGTCGACAACAACCTAATTTTATTTGACTCATATCCACATTTAACAAGATTGTTGGACCTTTTTGCCAATCCTTTACACTGCAGGATTGTTTTTTGTTGTTGTTGTTGTATCCTTCAGTGAGGGATGGCTGGTTTCTTGCCTTCATGAGATATAGTATGTTGGTATCTTTCACTTTTCCTTATATATTAGATTTCCTAATCCTTTAATCATCTTTGGGACTTGCTTCCAAACCCACTGCAGAGGTAAATTTTTGATTTTAAGGGTAACAATTTGCTGCCACCCCTTAATGCTAATGGAGACCAAGAAATTGTGTTGTATTCAGAAGGTAGAGAGCCATTGGTATCTAAAATAATGTGAATTACCACTTTGGAGAGAACTCTGTAAGTGATATTTTCTGGGTATATGCTAAAATAAGAATCCTCACCCCACAGAAGAGAGCAGCTTCCCCACAGGAAAGTCCCATGGAAGTAACACATCCTACAGCAAGACCTGGAGAAGGCTTCCTAGGAAATTGACATGTCACTGGAAAGCAGTCGGCCTAAAGGACGACTGACAAAAAAAAAA